TGGAGATAACGTCCCTTCCAAAGCTACCGGAAATGTAACTACTACGGGACAAAGCATGTATACATGCCCGGTCTCTTTGCAGAACAGTTGACTGTCGCGCTTTTATCCTCATAGATAAGCATTCGGTAATCACAGTGGAAAAGACGTTCTGCAAATCCAGGAAGTACCTCGGGCCTCGGTATTCCCAAAGCAGTTCCGCTATGAGACACAAATAAGCCGCTTTCTCATCAAAATCAAGGGGACCTAGTTCGTCAGAGGACAGCTTCTGCTTCATATCAAACCACTTCTGAGTCGCAAACTCCTCTGGCGTCATGACTCTTAAAAGGCGACGCACGATCACCGAATTAGTCCTGCGTAGCAGGGTCGATAAAGGTTCCATGGAGGAGAATAGACGTCGAAGACTCTCAAGAAGACGGTATCTTATGTGCCGGCGCTGTTCCTCTCGATTCGGTTTTTCTTTTGCAATATCGGTTGTTGCAACGGCAAGCTCTTCGGCATTTGTGTGATTGAGAGTATCACATACCTCAACAACAGAGCTTGCCAGCAGCATGAGAAAATCGTCCGGGCGTTCCTCCAGTGAAATTTTGAAACGCAGCGTCTCAAATGTGTCTGCCATCTTGCTGACTGGGGTTAGGTGGTTTCTTTGCCTCAGGTCCCCTCGGAGCCACAAAACGACCCTGCGAAGAAAATATCCCAATGGCATTTGGTCGTGAGATAGCCTGCTGATAACCAATTTAATGATACGATCCAAGTCTTTCGATAGTGCAGTGGATATGTCGAACGGATTAAATAAATGCCTCGAGAAGCCAGCCAGAAAGCAGACCTCGCACAGCATAAAACATTCCACAGGGATGGCAGTAGCATGCATTGCATAATCACCAAGATTGGCGAGTACTCCTCTAATATGATGGGAGACCTGATTGATCCGAGGGAGAACGGTTTCTGGAATGGACGTTGGGTGATAATCCAGCCAAATGACCATCTCTGAAGGTAGATACTGATACAAAACGAGAGCGGCAACGATGGCAAACTTCGCTTGCTGCTCGGGATATGGATTCAGTCGAACTCGTATCCATTCGTGAACTAAAGGGTGAACATGCAGAGTAGGCCCTGACAGATGTCTCTGGACCAGTGACAAAGACACCAAGGTACCTATGGCAACTCTGAACCCTACATCATCTTCCAAAAACGCCATTTGTGCCTGGTACTTGGAGGGTAGCTGTTTACCAACTAGATTTGCATCAAACATCCATGCTATCCGCTTGGGACCTGTGGTGAGAAGCTCTTCGGATATGTAAGAATGGTCTAAGAATCCCAAAAGCTGAAGTATCCAGCCAGATCGTGGTTGGGTACGTTCCAGATATTGTAGTGAGATCTCCCAAGTGGTCATTACGGAATCAGGATAAGTCGGATTTGCTTGTTTGAACCTCAGAAGACGCTCTCTGTCTACACTCCGAGGTTTGAGGTAAGTCAGATACTCGCGAAGGGTCGTGGGCGAGTTTTCCCGAATGAAAGATGCCGCCTGATCGATTGCGAGGGGGAAGCATTGCAGCTCTTCAAGAATTTGCTTTAATTCTTCGCGTTCGAGACCTGAGGTAAATCTTTGCACATTAGGCTCAGCACCGAGGCTCTGAATTCGAACAAAAAGGCGCTCTGCATCCAAAAGGTCCATTGCTGTAAGGGGAAACCCAGATGTTGCAACGGATCCAATAACTTTGCGATCTCTTGTCGTGATGAGAACACTTCCAGAAGCTCCTATGGGGAGAAAACGATCAATTTTCACTTTTATGTCATCAAAGTTGTCGAAAACAAGTAGCCAGTCTTCATGCCCAGGCATCAGCATCCAACCCTTCAATAGATCGACACCATCATGTTGAACCATGACTTCGGCGGCTGGTCCGGCTGTCGCTATGAGACCTGGACGTGCATATCCCACACCTCCATTGGCTTCGCGGACCAGCGACAACTTATCCGCGATTTCTCGAAACCCTGTTTCTATCTCGTCCGCGTTCCGCGCAGAAACCCAAAAAATTGATGCACTAGGCTTTCTGATTTTCCGATCATAGACGAATCTGGTCGCAAGTTGTGTCTTCCTAGTGATATTGAATGGTTAGCGGAGCTTACAATCCAAAACACACGAATTTACCCAACCCCTCCAAGACCATGGACTGCCACGATGGGGTATGTCGTGCATATATCGTAGTCCTGAGCACTCAGACAATCTTCCAGTAATTGCATTTGTTCTGTGCGCCCTACGAAATAGGGGTTTGGAGAGACTGGTACTATGAAATGCCCAGGTACGACCGTAGTTGTAGAGTTCGTCACTACTGCTCAACTGTAAGCAACGACAACGACTAGTATAATAACTCATTACCTTGCGCCTGATCAGCTTTGGTGATTTGAGCCGAGCATCGCTTTATCTGTGCTAGCACTGGTAGAAAAAGCGGGTCAGTTTGACTTTGGAATTTACAAATTCGTCGGTGCGTGGCATCAATCGGAATCAGCACTTCATTTTCCAGTCCTAGCTTGGATGAGGTTTCGTCCACGATCTTCATATTTTCAGTTAGCTTGCATATCCGAAGAATAAAAACGTACCAAAGAATTCAAGCCAGGGGTCTTTCTTCTTTCGTAGAAGTTGATTATGTCGAAAGAAGAGTGGATCTCCTGGAACTCGTTTGACAACCGAGTCAATACACCAGAGTCATGTTTGAGTGTTTCAAGGAGCTGTTTCGACGGACTTTGAAACGCTAAGGATGCAACATGCGATAATAGAGATCCCATATTTGCGCTCTTGCTACCTCCGTGAGGTGTTGCCAGAAAAAGAATGGATCGTGTAGCAACTCTTATGCTATGATATCGTTCAGGATCTGCATGAGCAGAGACAAGTGCCTGCATTGAGTCTTAGGGGGAGTATATATCAGGTTCAAAAGAGGCTTCTACCTGCTTCACCACGATACCCCCCAATGAATGGCATATAAAGATCAAAGGCCGTGATTCAACCTAAATTATAAGTATTGATCCCAAAGAAGAGAGCATAACGGACTTGGTCTGCCCTATCGTCTATGATCCGCTGTAAGAGATCGTGTGCAAAGTCCTTAACACTGCTCACAGAGGTGTTGGAACCCAGCAACGCGGAGTTGTAGCCATAGACCAAAATTCGTGCTTTTTTGACATTACCTGGAAGGAAGTCTCGAAGCCACATAGCCTCGAAACCGGATTGTCCATCTTCGTGGTGAGCCCAAGTCCCGTAGGCGTGACCGTTGAGACCGTGAACGGCGATGATGCTGCTCGAGTGGTGATCAGCACGTTCACGAAATGCTATGAATGCATGCTCGAGGGTGTCGTGGCCAAGGCTTACTCTAGCATTGGATCTTCCGGTGCCGCTAGCACTGTAAGACCCATGAAACCTCGTTCTATGCTGACATTGCGACCGGCCAGCACTCTCCCGTTCAAATTCAAGGCCTTTTTTGCGCTTGATTGGGATTGGAAGGTCACCGTCGCAACTAGCGAAGAGTCCTTGGCAGATCCGTGTGAACAAAGAGATATATTCGACGTCGCATTTACATTCTGGCGATCAAGGAAGCTGTGAAGCCGGCTCACTCCCAAGCTAGGGGATAGGTTCGATACCCGTACCGTTGCCAAATCCTTCGGCTGCATCGTGGATCAATCAATGTCATTTCAGGGAAAACGTGAATAAGTGCCTACTGGGAAATATTGAAGAGATGAGGTTGGAGTGCGACGAGGCTGCCTACCTCAGAACGATATGCGCGCGGAACCCGAGCGCTAACTTGATCTAATTTGCCAAGACTAGTGCTGTCTCGCGTAACGTCTTATAAAAACTATACGTATAAATGAGTTCTAAATAATAATTAGCTAGGTCTTAAAGTCTAGTAATATATAAATAGCGATTTACTATATAGCTTAGCTTTAAAAAAGAATTCTCTATATAAAATAGAAGATCTAAAATTTAAATATAAGAAAATATTAAAAAAATAAGACGCGAATAGATAGAAAAAGTGTAAAATCTCTTTTTATAACGAGAGAAATAAGAATAAGAAGTAAAAAATAGAAGGGATATAATTTATTTAAAACTCTTTTAATATAGTAATCTCGACTATTCTATTATAAATATATAAGTAAAGGCCTATAAATTAAATTTATAAAATTAGATTTTTCTAAGTTAAATCGAATTTTAGCTTTAGTTCTAAGTTAAATCGAACTCTAATCGCTTATTATACGTTTTTAATCTATATATAAATATATATATACGAAGAGAGACGCGCTAAGATTTAATTAGAAAGATATATCAAGTATAGAGAATTAATTTATAATAATTACTTATAAAAAATAGAGAAAGACTATATTTTTATAGTAAGAAGTATCGAAATATCGAAAAGAAATGAAGATAATATACTAATTAGTAGTATAAATTCTATATTATTTTCTATCGTAGTAAAATCTTTCGAATAATAAAATAGCTATTAGAGTAAGATATCGAACGATTTTAATTCGTCTAAATATATATCGTTTAATATTTCTTCTATAGAGATCTAATTAGCTATAATCGTCGTAATAAATTCTTCTCTTATAATGTTATTATAGTAATATATTATATTAATATAATAAGAATAATAAATTAAGTTATAGTAATATTCTTCGCTTACTAAGTGTTAAGGAATAGTCCTAAGTGGAATCATATGCATGAATAATGTGTGTGTGGTGTGATAAAATGATGAACTATGTAGGCCTGCAGTGGAAGAAGTCTCTGCAGTGCCGCAGTGCCAAGGCACTAAGCCCAATCGGGACGCCTAGTGGAGGAATCCGTAACAAATGCCACCGAAGAAGAAAAATGACAGCGTCCTCGCTGCAGATATGGAGACGCCAGAGATACATCATATGCCATAGGCCTGCTTCTCCTGAATCTTCCCTAAAGCCCCATGGTCAAATGCTGAATCCCCAACCGGCTACATAGAGCATGCGCCATTCACATATCCATGCACCTATCCTTGGCCTGTAGCCTCTATATCCTTCGCATATCGAATATAGCCGAGCGGGGAGGCGAGTTGAGAGGTGAGAAAAGAGGCGAGAAGAGAGGCGAGAAGAGAGGCGAGATGGGAGGCGAGAAGTGGAGCGTTACTGAGGCGAATGGCAGACTCTCCGCAATAGTGCATAGTAGCATGGTGTGGAATAGTGGAGAGCGTGCCCGTATTGTCATTGTCGCTGCTACTGGCGATGCTCTGCTTCTCCGCAGTTTTCTCCGTAGATTTCTCCGCAGTTTTCTCCACAATTGACTGTTGCTGAGGGATAACTTGATACTCAGCAGGGCGGAGTTTGGCTTCAATGGCTGTCAGTCTGGTCTCGAAGGCTATTATTCTGGTCTCGAAGGCTGTCATAGCCTGACTGATTGCGTCATCGATCATGGCTTGTAGGGAGGCTGTTTGCTCTGCTGTAAAGCCAGGTATAGGGCTGGAAATGTGGCTATTGTACGCCATGGTGGTAGGACGAATGGCCTAGTGAAAGGATCGCCGTAGACGAGTGTGGTAGGGTCCGATTAGGAGCTGGACTAAGGCGAGGTGGGCGTCTTAGAGACTCTGGAGATACTGCACCCGATAGGAGTGGTATTCTCTGTAGATTTCTCTGATAGTGAGTGTTGTAGGGTCCGTGTAGGTGCTGGACGAAGGCGAGGTGGGCGAATGTAACGAGGACAGCTAGTGCTAGGCCTGAATCGACCGAGGTGTTGCTACCATTGTTAAGGAATAGTCCTAAGTGGAATCATATGCATGAATAATGTGTGTGTGGTGTGATAATGATGAATTACAAGAGGCCTGCAGTAGAAGAAGTCTCTGCAGTGCCGCAGTGCCAAGGCACTAAGCCCAATCGGGACGCCTAGTGGAGGAATCCGTAACACTAAGTAATAATTTAATATAGAATCGTGAAGAGTATATGACGTGGGATCTTGAAGAGCTAAGTCGTATTCTTAACGATAGTGGTCTTATTACCGCTTAATTTCTCCGCAGTATTCTCCGTAGTATTCTCCGTAGTGTTCTCCGTAGTATTCTTCATAGTATTCTCTATATTTATCTATTATAATTTCTTCTCTTACTTCTTAATATAGTAGAAATGATAGATTAAGTTATAATAATATTCTTCGCTTACTAAGTAATAATTTAATATAGAATTATAAAGAGTATATAACGTGGGATCTTAGAGAGCTAAGTCGTATTCTTAATAATAATAACTTTATTATCACTTAATTTCTCTATAGTATTCTCCGCAGTATTCTTTATAATTATCTATTATAATTTCTTCTTTTATTTCTTCTCTTATAGAGTATTAAACTAAGTAACTAGCTAAATAATTAATTAAGTAAATAACTAAGTAATTAATTAATAATCTAATTAAATAAATTATTAAACTAATAGAATAGATAGTATTAATTAAGTAATTAATCGAATATCGCTAACTTAAGAGAAGTATTTAGAGAAGAACGATAGCTATAAATTCGTTTAGACTCTTTTTAAAGACTTTTTAACGCGTTTATAAGTAATAATAAGTAGTTATTAAATTACGGCCTCGATTACTAGTAATAGCGAATTTGGTAAGAGATAGCTTAAGGGCGTTAATAAGAGATTTAAAAGATAAACGAAAGAAAAATATATCTTAGATACTTAGTAATATTTAAGCGAGAGATATTAAGAGCGAATATATTTATAATTAATAGATTAATAGAATTATAGAAGAAATATAATTATATAAATAGTGAAAAAATTATTATTCGATTTTGAACGCGTCTAATATAATTATTATAACTATTATATTTAAATATTTATTTAATTTACTAATAGTAGACTAAACTTTATAATTTTTATAGCGTTAGAAAGCGTAAAGCGAGCTCTATAATTTGAGGAATTATAAAGTAATTATATATATTATAAGCTAAGTACTTTAAAGTATAAAATTTCTATATATAAATTTTTAATAAGAAAAATATAGAAGGGCTATTAAACTAACTTAGTCGATCTAATTAAAAAGCGTATAGAACTCGAATTAATAATTAACTATATATATAAATTTAAGATTTTCTAGTTTAGTTCTATCTTATTCTTTTATATATATTAATTATATCTCTCTTTTACTAGCTCTTAATTAAGCTATAGCGATTAATACTATCTTATATAATATTCTATAAAAACTATATATATAAATAAGTTCTAAATAATAATTAATTAGATTTTAAGATTTAATAATATATAGATAGTAATTTAATATATAATTTAATTTTAGAAAAATTCTTAAAATAGATAGCTTATACCTAATAGAAATTTATTAATTTTAAATTATATAAGAATATTAAAGATAATATAATATAATAAGAATATAAATTAAATATATTTCGATATATAAGCGATATAAATTAGACTTTTAACGACTAAGTAGTTAAATCTTATCGTTAATTAAATCGACGTTTTTCGCGAAGATAACGATTTCTCTATAGAAAGAGTATTCTAAGTAATAACTCGAGTAATTAAATATATATAGAGTATTATATAATATAGCGATAATATATTATTTTATAAAGATCTTATTCGAATTAAATAGCGGCGATAATCTATTAATAGAAAAGCGAGTAAATAAGTTTTATAATAAATAAATAGAATACGCGTTATTATTTATAGCGATAATAAATAGTATAATCCCTCTTTTAAATAAATTTATCTTCGAGAATAATAGCGATAACTTTATATAATAATTATATAACGTAATTAAATATCTTATAATATACTATTATTTAAAGTTATTATTCTCGAATTTAATTTAGAATTATATAAATTCGCTTATATAAAGAAATATAGTAAAAAGAAGATAAAAGAAAGTATATAAAGTTATTCTTTTTAAAGAAGTTTTATCGAATTAAATAAGAATATAGAGTAATAAATCTCGCGTAATTAAACGATATTCTTTAATATTAGTCTCGCTATATAATCTATAAATATTAATAATTACCCGCTATAATAATAAGTAATAAAAAATCTCGAGATTCTCGAATTTTATATTTATATAAACTAAACGAACGCTTATAAGATAGATCTTAATAAATTTAATTTAAATATAATAATTAGCTAGATATACTATCTAATTAATAAATAATTAAATAATAATAAGAAATATAATAATTCTCGATAGAGTATAAAACTCGATATAAAAGACTTTCGCTATTTAATAACTACTTCTTATCTTATTAACTAGATTTTATTAAAAATATCTTATAATATTATAATTTAAAGAAGTCTTCTTATATTATAATTTAGATAAATCGCGATTTAATAATTTCTACGTAGATTAAAAGCGTTTAGCTATAAATATTTCTTTAAATTAAATATTCTTCTTATAATAGCGAATAGCGAAGTATATATTAAATATATTATCTAGTTTAAGATAAATAGCAATATTCTTAAGAATATACTCTTCTATTCTATACTTATTAAAAGTATTTATTTATATAAAATAGTAATAATATATAATTATATAGCGAAGTAATTATATCTTATTCTATCTAAATAAAAAGATATTTTATTAATATAGATTCGCTATAATTATAACGATAATATAGTAATATTCTTATTTTTTAAATAATACGAAGTAGAGTCTTTTTAGAAAAGTTTTATTAGAGATTATTACTTTAGCGAAGAAGAATAATAGATCTATTGCTAACTTAAGCTCGTTATAAAAGATACTTCGTTTATTTAGAAGGGCTTTTATCGACTTTCTTACTCTTTTTAACTTATTAAAAAAGAGTTTAATCTTTATCTTCTCGCTATTAAACTGAATTTCTAAAAATTTAATTAAAGTATTTTTTTTATCTTTAATATAATTTATCTTTAGATTATAATTATTATAAACGATATTAAAGTTATTATTAAATTAAATTATATTATTAATATATTAATATATATAATAGAATAAGATAGAGTTAAGCTATAAAATCTTAAATTTATATATATAGTTAATTATAAACTCGAATTTACTACGCTCTTTAATTAGATCGATTAACTTATCGCGGGTAAATAAATTAGCATTCGTAATTATTAAAATCTCGCTCTCTTACGTCTCTCTTATTAAAAAAATAGATATATATTATTAATATATAGAATTACTTTTTTGTTTTCTATTAAAATTTTAAGATTTTTTTTTTAATTTTCAAAGCGCTATTTACGCTTTCCGTATTTTTAAGAATTCTAAAATATAGTCTTATAATTAATAAAGCGTAAGGAATTCAAATATCGCTTATTAAAGCTCGCTTATTAAAGATCGCTTATCTACTTACTCGATAGCCCTAATTAAAAAAATGATTATAAATTTAATTTATAGGCCTTTACTCGTATAAAAGAATAAGATAGAGCTAATCTAAAAAATCTTAAATTTATATATACAGCTAATTATAAATTCGAGTTCGCTACGCTCTTTGATTAGACCGGCTAAGTTAGCCCGCTAGCCCTCTCGCGCTTCCTTATTAAAAAAATAGATATACGTTATTTACACATAGAATAACTTTTTTATTTTCTATTAAAATTTTAAGATTTTTTTTTAAATTATAGAACGTAACTTGCGCTTTTAGATAAAAAAAGATTTTTTGAATTTAGTCTTATAATTATTAAAGCGCAAGAAATTCAAATATCGCTATCAAAGATTACTTATCAAAGACCGCTCATCAAATTTACTCGATAGCCCTGATTAAAAACAACGGTTATGAATTTAATTTATAGGCCTTTACTCGTTATTAGATAAAAGAATAGCGAAGAAGTCGTCTAAATAGTAAAAAACGATATTTTAAAATGAAATAATAACTAGTATTTAATAAAGAATCTTAGCGAATAAATCGAAAATAAAGAATACGATATATAAATTAAATAATAAAAATCTATCGATATAATAAAAGCTATTCTAAAAGAAATCTAATAGTTAAAAGTTTAATTTAGCTATAAAAATATATCTAAATATATTAATAAGATCTCGCTTACTTATAACTATATTTTTATTCTAGATAAATAGAATATTAATAATATTATTTAATATAATATATTTAAATACTTCGTAGATCTCGTAAATATAGTAATTAACGAATTATAATCGTAAAAAAAAAGATTATAAATCTTTTTTTAATTATTATTATACTTTGAAATAAGATCTAATAAAGATAAAATAAAGTTACTTAAGAGTTCTATATTTAATCGTATTAGATAATTATTATTCTTCTACTTTTAAAGATCTTTAGATAGTATTTCGAGTATTATAGCGATATTAAGATAAGATTTACTTAATAATAACTAATTAAAATCTTAATAGCCTATTTTAACGCCACGAGTAATAATTATAAATAAAATATTAGCGAATATCTAGTCGAGATAATTCTTAAGCTATTTCTTTTAATCGTTTTTCTTTAATAAATTACGTCTTTTTAATAAAGGCTTACTTAGCGAGATAAGTATATATA